TATTCTATTCTGCAGGCTTCATTTCTATGTCGGAAGTTAACTTCCTTTTTTTTTTCTTTTTTCAAAAAGCATTCTAGGCAATGCTCTATCACCAAGGTAGGCTTTTAGTCTATGTATTCCTCAGGAACAGTTGAACAATCTTCATTAGCCAAAAGTTTTAGACATGAATATTTTTGTGATAAATCCCTATTTGCGCAGAGCTTTTGGAGACATGTAGGGCATTTTCTCGCAGCCTTAATACATTTTCCTTAAAATTCTCAGAAGCATGTACAAATTCTCACAAAACCTCTTGTCAGAAGAGGAGAATTACAAGGCATGGTCTTAAGATCGACATAGGCCTTTTCTCTATCTTAAAATTATAGTAGGCACTCTCTTTTTCTCTCTGATGTTGGACTAAAAAATCTCGCAATCCCAAGAATTAATCTTTGCTGAGAAGTTCTTATTAATTAAAAAAATTAAGATATGCCAACTGGAAGGTTGAAAATGAAACCGTTTCTTCTCACATTTAGTACTCTTCCTCAATTACATGACCTCCTCTCAATGGTCATAAGATGAAAAGTTGGCAGGAGGATTTACAGAGGTCACAGAGGGACCAGGGGAGGGGAGAATGTGTTGAATGTGTGAGGGGAAGTGCTGGAGGCAGGTGATAAAACTAGAGGAGCGTTCAAGGAAAATATATTTTATTTGTTAATATGAGAAAAGGCCTGTGTTGTGAAGGCATCGATTTCATGTAACCAAAGTCAAACAAACTGCAGGAGATAAAGAAGGGATTGTGCATCCAGATGGAACGCATGTGCCATGTGCTGACAGAAAAATTCAGGATTCTGATATTATCAGCTGATAGCTCATTAGAGAATGAGGGCATTTGGAAAGGTATCTGCAGGAATTTCCCCTGTCATCATAGCGCATGTGAAACTTTAATACTCTCTATGATTGAGTGACTTTTAATCTTACTATAGAATGAATGATGGTTATGATCTATAGCTATTAATCTATACAAGCAAAATAAAAAAGGGCCTGCTGTAAATTATTTCCATTTTATATTTATTCAAATATTAGATTTAGACACTATTGTACTAACTAATATAGTTTACATATGAGAGCCCATGAAATAGTATTTTTTGAAGGATCAGATAAACTTAAATACAAACAAAGGTCTTTAGTGTTCTCCCTCCTGGGCCAGTGGATTACAGCGAGTTCTTTTGAGTGCGATTTTCAGACAGCATCAACAATGAGGCCTTGAGCTCCTAGCATATACATTTCCATTCTGAGCAAGCTAAAAGTGTCAATCTTTCCAGCTCCTCCTCCTCTTTCTCCTTTTCTTCCTGCTGCTACTGCTGCTGCTGCTGCTCCTCCTCCTCCTCCTCTTCCTCCTCCTTCCCTTCTCTTTTTCTCCCTTTCTCCCTCCTCTTCTTTCTTCTCCTCCTTTTGCTTCTTCTCCACTATCCTGCTCTTTGATCCCTTCCTTCTCCTATTGGTACTAGGGTTTGAACCCAATGCTCACACAGACATTCTTTCACTTGAGCTACATCTTTAGCTTTTTTCTTTTTCTTTTTTAACTTTAGCTATTTTTTCATGTAAAATCTTGTGTTTTTGCCTGGGCTGGCCTCATATTGCAGTTTTCCTACATGTGTATTCTGTTGCTGAGACCACAGGCTCATGTGATGAGCTGATAATCAGCTTATGGGCTGAGAATGGATCTTCTTTTCCTTCCTTCCTTCCTTCCTTCCTTCCTTCCTTCCTTCCTTCCTTCCTTCCTTCCTTCCTTCTTTCCTCTTTTCCTCCCTCCCTCCCTCCCTGGCTGCCTGCCTTCCTGCTTGCTTGTTGCTTGCTTGCTTGCTTCCTTTCTCTTTCTTTCTTACTTTCTTTCTTTCCTTCCTTCCTTCCTTCCTTCCTTCCTTCCTTCCTTCCTTCCTTCCTTCCTTCCTTCCTTCTCTCTTTCTTTCTTACTTTCTTTCTTTCCTTCCTTCCTTCCTTCCTTCTTTCTTTCTTTTTGCTTCACATCTGGTGTTTAAACTCAGGGCCTGTGCACTGTCCCTAAGCTTTTTTTTTCTCTCAAGGCTAGTGCTCTATCACTTGAGTCACAACTCTACTCCCCATTTTTTGCTGGTTAATTGGAGACAAGAGTTTCATGGACTTTGATTCTTTGTGGCTTCAAACTGCAATATTCAAATACCAACCTCCAGAGCACCTAGGATTGCAGGCATGAGCGAGCAGTGCCAGGATGGGATCATCTTAACTTTTTAGCCAAATAGGCCTCTAAGTGAGATCTTCATGATCTCTGCTCACAAGTAGTTGGGATTATAGACATGGACCACCAAGTTCACTCTTTTTTAAAAAGAGAGATGGAAATGCTTACTTCAGTGTTCAGTATTATGAAAATGAAAAATTGGAAAGACCTATTGATTCTTAATCTTACCTTATCATTTGATATTTTTCATCTTAGCAAATTGAACCTTGCTCAAGGTTTCAACAACAGTAATTTCAATCTTATTCTTCATGCATCTGGATCTCAGAATGCCTTGGATCTGTCTTCTCACTGAATTTGTTGGGAAGTCTAGGAAATGCTAAACTGTGTCTTAATTTACATCTTTCAGCATCAGTAGCTCTAAATTAGAATATAGCAATGCTATTTAGACATTGTGTGACGTGGAGCATGTAGTTCATGCTCTGAATTTTATTTATCAGTATAAATGTCAGTATGACATATTTTTGAAGGTGGTTGGGGTAATTCAATGAGACAATGTATAGAAGATACTAACATTATTACTTAGCATCAAGTTCAATGATATACTTCAGTGAAATATTACTTGCCTTGTGATCATCTATATGTATGTTTCTTTACAGAGAAATGTTGTAGGAATTGAGTAGAAAATGGTTTCATTTTCTCTATATTCCCAGTTGTAGTATAGTAAATAACATTTCTTACTGTTATGTACATATTCATTAAATGAATGAATAATCCTCCAGGAAATTGTTTCTGTGACATTTAACCCAATGATTAAAGCAGACATTGGCATCAATACAAAAACATACGGCACGCATCCTGGTCATCTGCACACATGTGTACCCCACATCCACAAATCTTCCTTTTGTTGAGAATCTTTGCGTGCTTTCCATGAAGCCCAGAAGTAATATTAGTCTGTAAAATTTTTACCAAATCCTCTAACATGCAACAAAATTGGCATCACTCAATATGGATTAAAGAGTTAGGAATTGTGAACTAAATACAGGGCAGGTAAACCAAAGTAGAACAATTGTGAATTAGTCACTGAAATGAATATGTATGTATTAGGAACCACATATGTATCTGGTTTCATTTCATCATAGGGATCTTTTACCCCATAAATACCTAGATATAAAGGTAAATATTGTTTGTGTCTATAAGTTTTCTTTTCTCTAAAATATTGTCATGTATATCTAGGCCTTCAGTAGTGTTATAACACTCACTGTTTCTATCCTGCTGTAATTTTTGTTTAATTTATTACTAAGAAAATATTATGCAAGTCTTTCTATTTCCTAACAAATGGGATGGTATCATTTTTCTGATGGAAGCATAGAATTCTTATATATGTATAATGGTATATACACATATATATATATATACACATATATATGTATATGTGTATATTTATCACATTTTCTTGATCCATTCATCTACTGAGGGGCATCTGGGTTGATTCCATATCTTAGTTATGGTGAATAATGCTGTGATAAACATAGTTGTGCTGGAAGCTTTAGTATGGCCTTGTTGTGATCATAGGGTAAATGCCCAGAAGTGGGATTGCTAGGTTATAGGGAAACTCTATGTGTAGTCTTTTGAAGAACCTCCATAGTGCTTTCCAGATTGGTTGAACAAGTTTACACTCCCAACAGTGCAGTAGGGTTCCCTTCTGTCCACATCCCCTCCACCATCTGTTGTTATTAGATTTCTTGATTATAGCCATTCTAACTGGGGTAAGGGGCAATCTCAATGTTGTTTTGATTTGCATTTCTTTTATGGCCAGAGAAGTTGAGCATTTCTTCATATGTCTATTGGCCATTCTTATTTCCTCTTCAGAGAAATTTAAGTAGTTAGCTCACTTACTTGTTTTTAAACCTCTCTTTAAGTAGTTAGTCCACTTGGTTGTTTCGTTGAAGGTGTAAGTGAAGTAAGCCAGACCCAAAGAAATATAGGTCCCATGGTTTCCCTTATTTGCAATAATTACTATATGTCTAGGATAATCTTATCAGATGAGCAGAAAAGCTCAAAAGCTATGTACATATGACAATAGAATATGATGCTAAGTAAAATGAACTCCAAGATATGAACACAAGAGGTTTTTCTTTGTTGTGGTTGTTTTTAATGTACTATATGATTTTTTAATAATTTCGTTTGCATGTTATTTCCTTCTATGGTATATTCCCTGTTGTCACTATATTTGATTTTGGTACCCTGAATCTTGTATATACATTTATCTAATTTGGAGTGGGGAAGGGGAATAACAAAATGCTGAAACAAGGACACAGGATGACCCATTGCAACAATGATACCCATAAGACACTATGTTGGAAATGAACTTCACAACTTTCAGGGAGTGGGGAGTGGGGGAGATGGGAAAGGGAAGGGATAGTAGAGAAAAACAAAGGAGGGAGTAGCAATATTTGATAAGACATATACTCATTATTTTACTCATGTAACTGTAACCCCCCTGTACAGCATCCTTACAATAAAATAAAATTAAAAAAGAAAATATTCTGCAATATTATCTATCTAAACAATCTATTATTACATAATCTCATCTCCATCTTCCAAGAAAAAATATGTTAGTCAAATGAGATTTCTGTGACACCCTATCTCAAAGTGCATACGTTCCAAATGAGTAAGTACAGAGCAAGAATGTCCTGAGTTGTATCTATGCAAGCCTGGCCCACTCCTACATATTTCTAGATGTGCAAAATCTGATTGCATTACAGTAATTGATGAAAGTAGATCTGTGCATCATATATATAATTCCACTTCACCAGGCCCTGTTCTTCCTCCCCTGGAACACTTGGAAGATCCGTCTTCGTATCTGCTTATTTTTCATGCTATAGACAATCGGGTTTAGCACAGGGGGAAGGAGCAGGTAGATATTGGCCATGAGCATGTGTATTACTGGTGATAGATGTTTGCCAAACCTGTGGATCATGGTGGCACCAATGAAAGGAATGTAGAAGAGGAGCACAGCACAGATGTGAGAGAGGCAAGTGTTGAGGGCTTTGAGCCTCTCTGCTCTGGAGGCAATACCCAGCACTGTCTTCAAGATGAGCATGTAAGAAAAGAGAATAAGGAAGGCATCTATCCCCAAAGTCAGGATGACCACGATGAGGCCATAGAGGCTGTTGACACGGGTGCTGGCACAGGCTAGCTGCATCATATCTTGGTGAAGACAATACAATACGAATGTGATAAGACATTGGCATGACAGAAGGGCAACCGCTTTATAAGGATGGGCACAGGGAAAACCACACAGACAGCCCGGGTGAGGACAGAGATTCCAATCCTTCCAATAATGTGGTGGGTAAAGATGGAAGTATAATGCAGTGGGTCTTGGATAGACACAAATCTGTCAAAGGCCATGGACACCAGGACTCCAGAATCTACTAAGCCAAATACATGGATGAAGAACATCTGTGTAACACATGCATCAAAAGCAATGTTAGGAACATTGAACCAGAAGACGCTGAGCATGGAGGGCAAGGTGGACATGGAGAGACTAACATCTGTCAGAGCCAAGATACAGAGGAAGTAGTACATAGGCTCATGGAGACTCTGATCCACCTTGACAACTGCTAGGATGGTTCCATTTCCCAGGAGAGTCAGTGAGTAGAGAAATCCCAGGGAAAAGGCCAAGCACGTACCACGTGTTCTTGTCAGGCATTCCTGGAATACCCGTCAGAATGAAACCATGGTGATAGGCACGTGATATATTCAGGCTCAGCATGGTATTCTCCCCACGGTGTTAGGCTGGACTCTCACATTTAGTTTGAAGCTCCGGAATAAAAAATATAGTCTTACATGAGATAAGTGAAATGACTAGATAGAACAGTAGAGGGAAATTAGGTTAAAAGTTTATGTCTAGATGATTTACATCACTTTATCGAGTGATTTGTGTCACTTTGTCCTTATGGTTCCTATACTGATTACATGTCCTAACTTCTCTTAGTTTTCATTAGTTCATCTAAAAAGAAAAATGGAAACAAGATTATACATTCAGTGTTCATACAACAGAGAAATTGATTTCCTTCTCCTTTGATGATTCACAAGGTTTGGCAGAAAAGAAGCTATAGTAAGGATTCAATAGTCTAGAATTTTAGCTAAAGGAATAATAATTTTTTAAAGTCATTAAAATCACAGTGCCATCATCACACACATACCTACATACAATTACATTAACATTATAAGTTCACATGCATACAGATCTGCATGCATGTGTAAAAATAAAACCTATGTACATTCTTCCACCTACAAATGTATTTGTTCCACACTATTTATAATAAGTGAATATAAATGCATATGAATGTAAGTGGTAAAAGTTTTCAAATTAACATTACATCTTCACACATTTCAAAAATATACAATTTTTCCTTAATTTAATTTTTATGTTTTTCAATCATGGGGCTTGAACTCTGGGCCTGAGCGCTCTCTCTGAGTTCTTCAGCTCAAGGCAAGGATTCTACCATTTGAGTCCTAACAGCGCTTCTGGTTTTCTGGTGGTTAATTGGAGATAAGAGTCTCATGGACTTTCCTGCCCAGGCTGGCTTTGAACCGCAATCCTCAGATCTCAGCCTCCTGAGTAGCTTGGATTACAAGCATGAGCCCCTGGTGCCTGGCTCTCTTAACTTAATTTTAAGGTGACAAAGAGCCAAGAGTAAAATTTCCTAGACCACACACATAAAACCAGGTATAACACATGCAGGAATAGACTACTGACACATATTTAATTTTGAGAGTCTTCTAATACACCAGAAATTTGACACTCATTCTTGAAAACTCTTTCTTCCTGAAATCAACACTTAAGAAATAATGGTCAAGAAGCATTGTACTTATAACCTGACATATGGAATTGTAGCCCCTTTGTACAACTACTAAATAATCACAATAAAAAAGAAATTACCAAACTAACCTTTCTTTCTATTCTCATAGCTTTCAGTTGGTAAACACATAAATTCAAAGCATTATCAATGCTATTCTTAACATTGTACTTATTTCTAATTTTTTTTTTGTCAGTCGTGGGGCTTAAACTCTGGGCCTTAAGTGCTGTCCCTCAGTTCTTCAGCTCAAGGCGAGCGCTCTACCACTTGAGCTACAGCACCACTTCCGGTTTTCTGGTGGTTTATTGGAGATAGGAGTCTCACAGTCTTTCCTGCCCGGGCTGGCTTTGAACCGCGATCCTCAGATCTCAGCCTCTTGAGTAGCTAGGATTACAGGCGTGAGCCACCAGCTCCTGGCTTATTTCTAATATTTTTAACATTTGAATATATTTTAAGATTTTTAACATTTGACTTATAAATTTATTAACAAATAATGTAGCATGTATCTTTTAGGATATGTAACTAATGTTTCAAAACAGTGATGCTCTTTTCTAATATGGTGTTTATAACTAAGTTAAAATCAATTTTTAATTGAAAACACTACTTTATTTTATTATTTTTAAGTAGTTTTGCAAAGCACTTGCCATTTAACAAAGCAGTTTATGAGTAGAGTGCATTTGTTCAACGTCAGCTCTTCCAACATTTTCGCCCATCCTTCCCTACCCACCCTTTCCCTCACCTTCTTCATTTTGTAGGATATATGGTGAATCCTTAACTGCATTCTTCCCTTCTTCTCCACTTCTATCTCCCCCTTTCCCCGTGACCTCACCCTTTTCCAACTGTTTCTGATATTTATAAAATCAATTTTTGTTTTTACTGAAAATCTTAGGCAATCATCCCAAGGAAAAGTTCTTTAAGGCCTTACAAGTCCTTATCTTAGCTTTAATCTTTACATCTATGCCAAGGATTTATTCTCTATTTTGGCCTCTTAGATTCAGACAAATTTGTAGGCTTTTTAACAAAATATTTATGAAGACATATACATGCACTATAATTGCTATATTGGCAAGTCTCCTTTGAAATGATTACAGAATATTTCTTTTTATATTATAGGATTGCCAAATGAACTAAAAATTACACCTCTTAAATACATTATGGGGGGCTGGGAAGTTGGCTCACTGGTAGAGTGCTTGCCTTGCATGCACGAGGTCTTGGGTTGGATTCATCAGCACCACTTAAGCAGAAAAAAAGCCAGAAGTAGTGCTATGGCTCAAGTGGTAGGGCACTAGCCTTGAGCTGAAGAATTGAGGGACAGCATCCAGGCCCAGAGTTCAGGCCCCATGTCTGACAAGAAAAAAGAAAGAAAGAAAAGAAATACATCATGGAATGGAATGGATACACAAATAAATTTTTAAAAACAGTGTTTTTTTTAAAGAGATGCAAAAAGTCCAGTGGTATTGAAGGTAAAAATATCTGATGTTTAACAAGGGAAAGGAACTTCTATGATGAATACTGCTCCCCAGGACCCTGAAGAATGCATGTTTACCAGTGACCCATAGAAAGCATTTTTATGAACAATGAGAGGCACCATGCATATCTATATCACACACTAAAGTTAGGAAAAGACAAGAAAATACAATCAGTCTTCTCAATTCTCAAAAGAAACAAACATGTCTTTATTTCAGATCTAATTGGTTTTTAACCCCAAGAAAAATCCCAAAGAATAACTAAACTACAGACTCTCAGGTAACCAGATACAGGTCAATATCATAATAAATCAGTAGGTTTTTCTGTTCAAATAATTACTGACTATACAAATTTACTAAGTAGCATTAAAAGAACATTTGTTCTCAGAAACAAATTAGTGAATTAGGAGTCTTTCACTTGGTAAACACATAAATCCAAAGCATTATCAATAGCACAAAGCATATTTTAACATTCTACTTGTATGTTTATTAACAACCATTTAAGACTTAGGTAGTGCCAGCACTGTTCTGATACAAAGAAGAGCATCATTCAATCTCTTTATAAGGTTGAATATGGTAGAGTTTTCTATGAAGAATTTAGATACACACACAGAGCTCGAAGGATTTGAGTCTGTGAAACTATGAAATTCAGGTACTGTGATAATACTACAAAATCAAAACATAAATAACAAATCTGAAATAAGTAACTTGCAGCGTGATAGACAAATGTCTCATAATCTTAACTGATAAAGAACATGTAAAATGTGAAAGAAAGAAATCATTCTGAATGCAATAGAAAAATAGATTAAGAAGATAAACACCAATAAGCACATGAAAAGATGCTCACCATCTCTTACAGCATAAAAATGCAAGGCAAAACAGAATGATACCATTTTATAACCTCTTCATTTCCTGAAATTGTGTGATGTGGTAGATTTCCAGCCTGAGGAGCAGGGGTGAGGGAAAAAAAACCTTTTATGAAATGTGGCATGAGCTACTGCTTCTACAGAATATCAGTTTAGCAATGTTTCCACTTATATACTTGTTCATTCATTCATTTCCTTGTTATTCATTTATTTACCTTTTAATTTTAATCAGTATTAATTGCTTGTACAAAGGAGTTTTATGGTGATATGTCTAATGCATATAATGTAATTTTATTAAATTTATCCCATCTATATTATTCTTTCTTAACTACCCTTCCTTCTCCTTTTTTCTTTTTAACAGTCATTGGTCAGTTTCACGGTGCTGATATCACACATGTGTACCTAATATACTTCTGCAATATTCATTCTTGTCATCCACTTCTTTCTACCTCCTCCTACCCATCCAAGAACTTTTGCTGGATAATGACAGAAGGATCCTAACATGCCATCATTGTACAAATGTATTCAGTAAGACAAAATAAAGAATAAATCAATAAAAATAAATAATTAATTAAATATTAAATATGAATAAATAATAAATTAATAAAACAAGACTAAGTCATTGCTCGCCAATCACACATGCACATCAGAATCATTTGGGAAGTTATAAAATACAAAGCTAGATCTGAGCTCACCTGAAGTGAATGCAGACATTTGGAGATGAAAGCCACTTATCGGCATGAAGTTAGATCATGTGTCTGCTGTTTAGGTTGTGTTCTATGGTTTGTTGGATGGTGAAGGAATTAGAAACAGGAAGAAACTGCAGGAAATATACATTTCCCTGTTTGAGAGTTTTAGGCTTGGAGGAAATGGTAAACATTGCCCTTTAGTGTGGACAGGCAAAATAAAAAGAGCTAAAAATGGAAGTATTTGGTCTGCCAGCCAATGGAAGATCTTGGGAAGCTGTTTGCATCTATGATCCTATCACATGTAAACCCTGGCTTTATAAGTATTTTTGATCTAGCTGGGTGCAGGTGGCTCAGGCCTGTAATCTTAGTTACTCAGGAGGCTGAGATCTGAGGATTGCAGTTCAAAGCCAGCCCTGGCAGGAAATTCCATGAAACTCTTATCTCCAATTAACCACCTGAAAACCGGAAGTGATGCTGTGGCTCAAGTGATAGAATCCTCACCTTAAGCTGAAGAGCTCAAGGGCAGCACCCAGCTCCAAAATTCAAGCACCATGACCGAAAAAAAAATTGTGTGTGTGTGTGTGTGTTCTTGATCTGACAATTTCCAGTTGTTTTTATGATGATAAATGTGTCAAGATAAATTTGATGTATGTCTGCTGGGCACCGGTGGCTTATGCCTATAATCCTAGCTACTGAGGAGGCTGAGATCTAAGGATCATGGTTCAAAGCCAGCCCGGGCAGAAAAGTCTGTGAGACTCTTATCTCCAATTAACCACTAGAAAACCGGAAGTGGTGCTGTGGCTCAAGCACTTGCCTCGAGCTGAAGAGCTCAGGGATAGCGCCCAGGCCCAGAGTTCAATACCCACAACCAACCCCTTCCCCCTCCCCT